TGTCTCGCCAGTCTCTCTCTCTCTCTCCCCTCCCAAAGCGAGGCCCGCACGGCTTGCAGCCTCCAGGCCTCGGCAGTCTTCCCGCCGCCGCCGCCTCTGAAGTGAGGCCCGCGACTGCCAGGCCTCACCGCTCTCTCTCTTCCCCCCCTTCAGAGCGAGGCCTGCGGCTTGCAGCCGCCGGGCCTCGCCAGTCTCTCTCCCCCCCCGCTCTGAAGCGAGGCAGTTCACAGAGTATCAAAAGAATACCTTGAATAATTAGTTCATTACTTGCTGAATTTGCCTGTTTTCCCAGATCAACCAGTTCCTGAGTTGCCACCTCCCCACACTCAATTGGTAGAATATGTGGCTATGGTAGTAGACCCCAGCCCTCTATGCCTCTGGAGCCTCGTGCTGACTCCTCTTCCTTTCTGTATTCACCACCTCACTCTGCCAAGCTCCAGAAGGACACCATCACACACTCTTGAGGATGAAGGGATCATCTTACCCCCTGCCCTTACTTCCCCTTTGGTTACGTGGTTGGGAGACGATATTGTATAGGTAGGGTACCGATATCAGGCTTCTAGGGTTCAAATTATCAAGGTTTAACAAAAGAGTCAAGCACACTCCAGATTACTTACAGGCAGCAAAACTGAGCAAAAGTTGGGAAATAAAACTGCAAACAGCAATCTGTCTCACCTGACTAGGCTAGTCCCTAACCTATGTAATTAAACGAACAGGCACTTAACTCTTGGAGATACAATCCTAAAGAGAAGTTCCATTACCTTGAGTTCGAAGTTTGGGCTTCTTCCCATTGTGTGACTATATACAGATTAACTGAAGTCCTTCATACCAGCCAGCATGAGTCTAGAGATGTGAGCAGTGCAAGAGAGCCTGGGAAGAGAGAGCTTCCCTCTTGTGTCTAGGGAACTGCCAATCTGTGCCAACTGCCAGTGGAGATTGTCTCTTCCTGTTGGACACAGGAGGGTGACCTAGCTATCCTTTTCTCCCTCTCTGGTGGGGTGTGATTTTTCCCTCCTTTAATATTTGCATGTCCATTGGCTTGATTGTCCTTAGCTGGGAGTCAGTTTACAGCCCACTAATTTGCTCCTAGCATCTTACTACCCCTGAGAGATGGACATTACAACAACCCTGCAAGACAGGCCAGATACAGTAAACTTTAGGCGAAAATTGTGGGGTAAAGGGCCATTCTCCACAGTGGCATTTACACAGAAGCTCCCAGACCATAGTTTTTTAAAATACTCTTAGAGGAAATATAAGGGAGTACAATTTACATTTACCTGAGATATTCCCCAAGACATCTTTAGTGTGGCAAACCAAGTCTTCACTTTCTCCATCTTTAAAGCTGCCTATTTCTCCATAGTACAGTGCAATCCCAAGTTGCATTATGCGAATAAACATAGGGAGTTGTTGGTCAGTAATGGACAGCTTCAAACTTTCAACTAAAGTATGAATCTGCAAGAACAGAGAATAACACAAACAAGATTGTTATAGCTTTTTCTTCACAGCAATCATGGTTCTTCAGAATTCTGTATATGTCACCTTACAGCTGAACTATATAAACTGTCATATTCAGTAGGCCTTGCTGCGATCAGGTCTCCAAATTCACCGGCACAGAGACCACCTTTTCTCTACCAGTCCTGTGGAGCCCTTAAAAGCCACTTCATGCCATCTTCACAACCAAGACTAAAAGCCTGAAGAGAGTGACAGAACTGGACACCTCTCCACAAGGTCTAATCACACTCACAGAAACACAGCAACAACCTCAGACATCAAACTCACCTGGCACTGGGACATTGACACCAATAATCAGAATAGCTCTGCAAATACTAAAAAGCAAACTAGAACAAGCAAACCTATTCAACAACACATAATAACTCCATGCTCCAGAAAAGCTGAAGTATTTAGAAGTCCTGGTGACTCCAACAGGAAAATTAAGGATATACTGGTCTCACAGTGACATGAGATTTAAAAGTCCATGACTTTATCTAGCTCATTCTACAGTTATTTTACTGGGGGGAAAGTTATCACAATTAGGAAATCTGCCAAACAGCAATGCTTTGGATTTTAAGAAAAATAAGTAGAATTTGATTTTATAACAAAAAGTAGCACACACTAAAAATGGTAAAGGATAATGAAATACAACTGTTCAGAAAGCATAATTCAATTTTGCACAATGGAGGAATTTTCATCATGAAAATCCAAACCAAATAGATTATTCTCTTCTTCCAAATGTGTTGTGTTCTTTCCAATACAGCCAATCTTAAGTTAGTTGGTTTTCAGGTTGATTGCATACATATTTGGCAATAATAATGAAATTCTCAGGAAAATGGTGAACTTACAAGCTGAAACAAAAAATATATATTGACAAGTATGCCTATGGTGTTCCAAAACGTAAACCAGTGGACCAAGGTGACACAAAAATTTAATCCACTTGCATGCATGATCAAAAAGGGATAGTTACAGAACACAAATGTCCAAGGTCTTATGTGATCTAAATTGTCAGTAGTGGTAACTTGTGTTGTAACCATTGTGATAAAACAGTTATCCCAGAAGTCACTGGTTTCAGTCAACTAACAATATATGAAAACAAGAAGAATGTGACCATCATAAGATACAATGAACCAATACTGAAGCATTCCGCTAACAGAAGTATGAATTAGTTTTAACTGCTAAATATTTTTATAGATAGCATTTTTATTATGTAATTTCAAAATGTTTTTGTCTGTTTGTTTTGTTTGTTTGTTATTTCACTTTGTAATTTAAGAGGAATATGTACTGACATAATTTTAGAGACATTGCCTTATTTTACAGTGTTATGGTAGTGATAATTTGAAGACTTGCCCTAAAATCACATGACCTCAATTCCTTATAGAAAGAGGTTTGGAGATTGCTGTACAAAAAATTTTAAACTGTTCTTCAAATTAAAGTTGTTTTAAGTCATTCCTCAATTTGGTGAGCGCTTTTGTGGAACCCTGATAATGATCCAAGGCAAACTGAAATTTATTTATTTTAATTTTACTTCATTTACACCCCACTTTTCTCCCCTATGGGAATCCAAAGTGACTTACAACATTCTCCCCTACTCCACTTTATTCTCTAAACAACCCTATTAGTTAGGTTATGCTGAGTATAAGTTAGGCTGAGACTGGCCCAACGTCACCCAGCAAGCCTTCATAACAGAGTGGGGGTTCAAACCCAGGTAGTCTGATGATTTTAACCACTATACAACACTGCCAAAGTTAGCAATGATGTCCACATTTTTTGAGAGAATTTCAGAGTTATATCAATAACTACTATATCAATGGCTACTAACAAAGATTAGCAAATTTATATATTTACAATGTAATTACATTAATCTGAGCAATTAATCTGACATACATTTTATGCTAACCCAGAATTCGTTAAAACTGTCTCTGTAAATAATGAACTAAAAGAAAGCAAAGTTTTCATTATTACAACCACAATACCAATTGACAGTGGTGAACACTGTGTCAATGTTTCCATTATATGCTGTCAGAAGTTTGCAATTCTGCCATGAAAAATTTGCTTTCTTGGCATTAACCTTGACGATCAAGACCATGGCTGTACTTCAGTCCTAAATTAAAAACAAGAACTTGGCAACTTTTAAAAGGGGAGGAGCAAAATGTAGCATTCAGCTTGCACTCAACAAGCATTGAATAGAAGAATGCCTTTAACATATCATGGCTTATGTCAATTATGATTCTATACAAGGACTCATTTATACTATGAAAACTAATGAACATTGTTATCTGAAAATAACCATTCTTTCCAATAATTTTAGAACTACTGCACAGATAGAATATTTGTAGACAAGCCGAGAAAAGCAAGACAATTCAAAGATCTGCCAACATAAGTGATCTGACGAGAAGTGCACACCATTATATGGTGGTATTCAAATCCCGAAGTACATAGCCAAACCAGAAGTTTAAAGAATATAAATCTTGTATTACAGGCCAATATGGACACAATGAACACAGTAAAAAATGCCAAGTCAACTGCCTTCTAGATTAGAAGGAACTGTTTGTAAACTCTGCATGGCAAAACAATTAGGTCTGGCCACTTTCAGGGCTTTCCCAGGGGCCCCAGTATGGCAAAGGAGAAAGTTCCGTTATACCCTGGGCTTCCTTGTGACTGTTCCCAGTTCTTCTCTGTGCAATGAGATTCAAACAGGGAGTGCCGCTTTTGTCCATCACGGCAACCTGTAGCGACCTCACACCCTTACTCCTGTTTCTTGTGACACCTTCATAACTCACCCCTCCCCTTTTGCCTTGGCAATGAGCCTGATACTTGAGCCAGCAGTGGATCTGATCACTAGCATGGCTTGGAAAGCTAGCCCCCAACACGTCTCCAAGAGAATAAACTTCACCCATTCCCATTGCCTACCCACAGCCTATCCTTGTCTGTCAACAGCTTTTCGGGGTTGGGACACCCATTGGCTATGCAGTGTCATCTTTGAAGACAAAGCCACCTGTCACAGTCTTCTCTGCATACTCTAAACATCAAATCTAGACAGTTAACTTTTGGGGGGAGACAGAGAAACAGGTTTTAAGTATCTAATAATTAATTGGTAGCCTGTACTGTGAACCTGCGACCACACATTACAGCATGAATGTATATGCAAACAATGGTCTGCACAGCATATGACATTAATGGTCTCAATAAATTTCCACATCAACATCCACACATCAGGAAACATTCCTGAAATAGATTACAAAGCTACTCAGCCTTTTCCAACTAAATTCAAAAACAGGTTAAATGTCCACAGTACACACCTGTCTTAAAAAGGAACTGCAGACTGATCTTCCAACACTACCATTTGCATTGTTCTTGTTAGAATTTCATGATGTTAGGTAGCTGTTTATGTATATTTATTGTATTTACTGTTTTATTGCTTTTAAATGCTTGTTCGCCAACTTGAGCCAGTTCCCCGGCAAGGTGGGATATAAATTGAAAATAACAAATAAATAAATCTTGAAATATATTCAGTGTACCGGTTTTGAGGGGCTATCATATACCACCATGGCCGCCATCTATACTGATCTGTATTTTACTCATATATTGTTTTATGTGGAATTTTATCGGATTGCATTTATGAACTGTGTTTTATTGTATTTTAACTGTTGTATGTTCGCCAACTTGAGCCAGTTCCCCGGCAAGGTGGGATATAAATTGAAAATAACAAATAAATAAATCTTGAAATATATTCAGTGTACCGGTTTTGAGGGGCTATCATATACCACCATGGATATTAAGTGAAATTTTCACTTCCTTTTGAGTATAATAACCCATTAGCTTCCTATTACCAATGGAAATATCTGAAAGGGTTAAGCTGAACAATGCAAAATATCAAAGAGTAAATAAACTAATGATGCGAGGGGAGAAAACAGTCTGACTGATGTAAAGTGCCAAACCATACATCACAAATGTGTTCCCAGCAGCTAGGTTACTATTCATGGAATCTGACGGCTTGGGTCCAGTCACGTGTGTCCACCTACAGACCACAACTTTCTCGCCCCCTTTCCTGCTGTAGCTCAAAACGTCCCCTGAAATGATGTTCCTGAGAGTTCTCCAAGAAGCCCCATGGGAGGGGGCATTTGGGGCTGCAGCAGGAACCAAGAAAGCCACATTCCACAGGCAGCAATCCTTCCATCTGTGGAAATTCTCCAAGGGATCCAGGCCAAGATCCTGGTTACTGACCACAATAAAACTGTTTTCAAACCTGGTGTTCAGAAATGAATGGTCTTCTGAAAGACAGAATAAAAATTCATCCCTTATCCAAGATCCCCTTTTCCCCCTCAGGGTATATATTAAGTTATTCACACAGGAAATCTGAAACAAATCTAGCAATGTACTTACTTTAATAATAGATGGCATCTTTGAATTAAGATTATCATAAGTGAAGTGTAGACGAGTCCTGAATGAACACTTGTAAAGCAGGGGATCTTGATAAAACTCAATTTTGCCACTGGCATTCCTCTTGTCTAAGCAAACAGTGCAGTCAGAAAAATTGATCACCTTCCTTAGTACCATATCCGTTGCTTGAAAAAGAAAGATATTAGACAGTTTAATTTATTTATATTTATTCATATTTGTGTCCCACCTTTTGAAAAGAAATTCGCAAAGACTGTTCATAATATAAAGAGGATACGACAATAACCAAGAAACAGCAAAACAATAAGTAAAGTAGAAGCAAACCAAAAGAAAACCACTGGTAGAAGTGCAATACAGATGTAATACACCTCCTGGAATAAAACAACTTTTGCTTTGCATCCAATGGAGCAATGAAGATGGGGCACATCAGAATTATCTGGAAAGATAGATCCCATAACTTCAGTGCCACTGATGAGAACGTCCTCCCCTGCATAATGACTGATCATACCTCAGACACAATAAAGTTGGCACAAAGATCTTAAAAGAACAGACAGGTTTATATGGAAGAAGGCAGTTCTTAATGTACATTGGCTGCAGTCACACGGAACATTAGCCACCCTAGTCAGACGGAAGACATGCGGAGTTTCCGGACGCGATCTCACCGGTACGTCTGGGAAGCGTAGCCCTCCCGTGGCTCAAACGAGGCTTCCCACTGAAACTGCGCAGCAAAATACTAGTACCTCGGAGGTACTAGTATCCGGAAACCGCGGGGCAAGGGCGGGCGTCTGATCGCGTTTCCGGTGGCATCCGGCGCCCGCCCATGTTCCCGTCCTTGCGAAAAAGTTTTTTCCCCCAGGTCTTCGTGGATGCGCAAAAGCACCCTACGGAGCATGCGCAGTCGTGCTGTACAGGAAAAAAAACTATCCAGTTTGCCGATTCGCGCGCTTCGTTTTTGCGCGCGGGATTGTGCTGCGATCGACACCTCTCCCTTCCCACGGGACCTCCACGGTACCGCCACGGTACCGCCACGGGAGGTCTGGTCAGGTAATGGCGCCTTAGTTTGCCCTGGGGCACACTGCCACGCTTCCCCCCCGCGGTTTCCTGCTCGTGTGACCGGGGCCATTGAGTACTTTGAACTAGGTCCAGAAACCAACTGGGAGCCAATGACGATGTTGCAAAGATGGCATTATTTGTTTCAAGAGGCCCACTCAAGTCAACATTCTGTTGACTGCATTTTGAGCCAGCAGTAGCTTTCCAAACACTTCCCAAAGCCAGCACAACACCAACCAAGCTACTGTAATCTAACCTAGATGTCATTAAGGCACGTATTACTGTTGCTGCATCTTTATGAAAAATTACAATGGATCCAGCAATTTAAATGGCACAAGACACATAAAAAATGGGACTGGCAAAACATTAACCTCTTAAAAAGCACTCTTAGCTATCATTATCAGATGGGTATCCAGGACAAGGACCAGATCCAAGAGCAGCCACCCACCCTTTAAGCTGAAAAACTGCATTTTATGGGAATACACAATGCCATCTAATCCCCACTCTAGGATCAGACAGATTCCCAACCGTCAATACTTCCGTTTTGCCTAGAATAAATTTCAGTTTGTTCACCCTTATCCAATTTACCACTGAATTCTAACATGGGTTCAAGTTCACACCTGCTTCCCTAAGATTTTATCAAGCGAGGGGAGAAACTGAGGGCTGTACACATTTTGGCAACAGATTTCTACAGAACCTCATCCAATGGTTTCATGTAGATGCTGAATAGCATGGGAGCCCGCATGGAGCCTTGCAGAACCCACAAGTCAAAAACCATTGAACTGTGACATAATCTCCAGCACCACCTTCTGGTAGAATACTGTGTCCCCTGCCCCACTGCGTCCAGGCAAACTGGAACACCACCATGGCTGATGCTATAAAGAGACAGTGAAAAATCCACCTGCAGGGCCTTTCTCCCTGTGGAGTTATTATAAAATGTAATAAAAGCCATCAAAAAAGTTTCAGTCCCAGTTTTTAATATGTTAAAAGGGAAAACATTATACACCCTCCCATTCTTATACATCTTATACATCATCACAAACATTAAAAAGGACCATAAATCTGTCTGTTACATTTTTACCCGGGTCTTCCTCCAAAGAGCTGAAGTGGTTATAAATAGTTTTTATTACCTCCATTTTATCCTCACAACAACCCTTTGAGATAGGTTAGGCTGTGAGAGAGCAGCTGGCTCAAGGCCACCCAGGGATCTTCATGGCTGAATGAGGATTTAAATCTGGCTCTCCCTAGCCCTAACCTGAAATCACTATATTATGCTGGTTCTCTTCAAAGATAGACCTCCCACAACAACATATTCCGAAGTGATCCATGAAACACTGGGGAGACCATACTAGTGAAAAGTTAGTTTATCCTACCAGAGGGTATTTATTTCAACAAGCCTGTGCAGAAACTCAAGCTCCTAGCTTCCCTGTGCACCATCTTTCATTCTAAGTCGAAAACAACAGGAGCCCAGAACTAAACTCTCTTCAGAATTTGAACAAACCTACTCAACAGGTCAGTTTCTCCTTGGTTCATCTTCTCTTTCTTCTCTGCTTTCATTTCACCAATTCCTCCTGTACAGTCTTCTAGAAATGTGCCTATTCAATAATATCACTTAAAATTCAACAGACTGCTTACCTGATATATCCATAAATGCCCGATCCCAAAATTCATCCACTGTGTAACATTCTGCTGAAGTGATATTGACTGAAAGAACAATGTCATCCTCGACATATTTGAGTATAAGATTATTGATGACAATGTTGACATTGTTAACAACACGCCAAATTAAACTCTGTACATAGCCTAAAAAAGAAACATGGAATTATTCAGTCCTTTGTTTGGAAACTCCACTGTAAAACAGAGAACTGGATTCACTAAATCCAGCAACATAAGACAATCGTACTCACTGAAAATCTGACTCACTTAATAAACAAAAGTACACAGACTCTATCACATCGCTTATATGCATCTACTAAATAGTGCACAGGTGGGTAAAGCAGTAACTTTTTAAACTCCTCCATTTTTCATTTTAACAATATAAACAGAAAGCAGTAACAAATACTACAAATTGATCCATATAAAGTTGCAAAACACAGTTTTCCAATTTGTACGTGGGTAACCCAGTTGCCAGTGGACATTAGCTGTTGCCCCAGCAACCAACAGAAAGTAGACAGTGCTGCATGTATCACGCAACACCAACAAGGTGATCCCCACTACCAGGAAGCATCAGTGCAGAAGCAGTCCATGTGCCCTTCTTCCTCTCCCGCAGCAGAAACAAACACAAAGTAAGCAAAGGATTTAAGACGCATAAATTTGATAACTCAAGCTTACTGTAAAAGATTATACCCTTAATATCCATTTTCACGTAAATGCCCCAACAAAAAAATGATGGAGCATTGGTTTTCCAAGCCTGGAGTGATCTCCAGTAATTATACTGAAAACTATTCTTTCTGCACTACTTTTATTCAAAGGGCTTATTTTGTTCCTGATTCTGGAGAAGAGACACATGAAGGGGAAATGTTTGGTATTAAAGTGGCTACAGGAGTTTTGTTTAGGAAAGGATAAGTTTCCCCAAGTCAAAACTGAATGTAGTTATGCCTTTTACTTTATTATATTTATTGTTTAATAACAAGGCCCAATTTATATAACTACCTGGTGGCAAATCAGGATCAGGAGTAGTCTGTTGAATTCTTCGTGGTCTCACTGATGCCTTTATACTTTCTGTGGTGCTACGAGTCGTCGAACTGGAGCCACAGCTTTCATGGTCATCCTATAAATTGTAACAAATACTCATCATGAACTCCATCAGGGGAAAGAAAGGCAAGCCGTTTGACAACTAGGCCAGTTTATCCACTTTGAAACTACAGCACGAGTGAACAAATATAGATTAAGATCCAGATAACCAAAGAGCTTTCGGTTTGTTTCTCAAACCACAGACACACACACACCCTATATTTTTTTTACCTGCTGGTGCTTACAATAAGGGATACTATATCAATACAGAATTATACAGAATCTTACCAGAATTATACATTAACACTGGAGTGAACAGTCATTTTTTCCCCTTAGTAAAATACGTAATGTAGTAAAAAGCAGTAATCTTTTACATATATTCATATCTGTCTGGGCATTCATTTTTTGCAGAGGTATGAAGATGCTTTCTTAATGGTAAGAAATAGTGTTATTTATATGGAACATCTAAGTTAATACACTCATTCTTGGGAACATAAACTTAAGTGTATTTAAAAAGTCAAAAGATTGAATCAAAACCTCTCAAAATGAGTATTTTTAAAATAAACAGCCACTAATATTATTGTAAAACAAAATTCGGAGTTTAATTACTGGAAGACGACCATGTGGCCATGACCTTACAAGAACTATGTCACTATTTAGATCTTTTTATGTCAAAGAAATCTGCAGTCACACATATTTCTGTTCAATGTTAACTTTGAAAACACACAATTAATTTTTGAAACATATGTGGCTGCCTCATAAGACCAGAAATAAAACATGTTCATTAAAGAGATGTGAAAAAGTTCCAAGTTAACTGCCAAAACTAGCATAATTATGAAAATATTTAATGCTGGAACCCACTGAAATCACACGTTGCATAGAGATCACACTGATGTCATGACAAGCTTCCCAGCCAAAATGCACTAAAACTACTACAGCCCTAATAAATCTAGGTCACACTATATGACAAACATTTTCAAGCTTAAGAAATTCAAATTATGGTTTTCCATTTTAAAAAATCATTCTATTAATTCCAATATTAATACATTTTATAACAAAAACAGAGTTTCAATAGGTAAACAAATTATTCCTAAAGACTCAATTAAGATAGTAGGTATCGAAATCTTAAAGAATTATGAAGTTTCTCTGTAAGTGTTTCAGGATGCATTTTGCTTAAGCATTTACTCAGTTGCTCTGTAAACACAACTGTGAGGGCTGAAGCTGTTTGAAAACAATTGCATTTTCTTTATCTTTGTTATACATCCCAGGATTCCCATAAGCAGGAAAAAAATATTTTCACCTAGTAATCGTCACCAGGTAGCTTCAAGGAAAAAATCAGCTATTTAAGTACATCAATAAACTATACTTTCCGCAGGCTGTGTTATTGTGTAATTCCTTGATACTCTCAGCAGGGAGCATATACAAACTTCCGTTTTTATTCTTCCTTCCCAAGGAAACATACATTTTAGCTAGCTCTGACAGCCAGATATTACTTGTGTTTATCACTGGCCACACACCTTTTCCAGCTTCTCTGATTCATGCGGAGGATTTGGATGAACAAGGAGAAAATTAAAGGGCCACACCAGTCACTAAGAGACGGAAAATAAGGCCAAGGCCAATGGTGCAAAATAAAGTAAAAATGCATTTTATTACTCAGTTAGAATTCCCAAGATGCCCTATGCATTTCGCCAAGAGGCTTCTTCAGGGGAATCTGTAATATATAATATTTAATTACATTACTGAGCTTACATAAATAAAGGCTATTTAGTTAAAATTATTGTATAAATAAATAAAACATGGAGGATTTGAATGAAGAAAGTGGTCAGTCTCTTATTTCAGACTGGGTTATGGAAACACTGGGATGGAGTAAGCATCTCACTGCTTCCTAGAATCTTCCCAAATCCTGATGTAGAACTGAAACACAGAGACTGCCCTTCTCCCAAGTCTACATATATCAAAAAACATGGGAGAACATCAAGATCTGTCTCTCCCATCTATCATGAAATGAGAGTCTTCTTCTGGAATGCATGAGGAAATTGCAGGGCACACCAGGCTTGACAAACAAAGGTAGGTGGTCACCCAAAAGAGATCAGTGGTGGCCCCTGCACACCTAGCAAGCACACACATGGATTCCTGTCTCTTCTACAGGCTTTTTGTACTGTAATCTGCTAAATTTAAGACTATCCTGGACCCTGTTCAGGTTATTACAGCCAGTGTATTAGTATGGCATCAATTTGGTGGCAATGCCTTCGATCTGTAAAAACACCACGACCATATTCAGAAGTGTTCTAACAGAATCCCTCTGGATTGCGTTTGTAACATAAATACATACCCAGGAAGTCTTTAACCATTAAGATGTATCTAATGTGCATTCCAGCTTAAGAGCATAAGAAATAAGCAAAATAAATACTACAAGCCATCAAACCAAGGTTAACCTAGTCTTCCATTCTATGAAAGAATTTCAGTATCCATCAGAAGGTCCTACATAACTTAGTTAGCAGATGATCAACAGACATGGGCCATCTTCAATGAACGTCAGTCTAGTTCTTGAACTAGTGGATAAGTGTACTGCATAGAAGAGACTGGATGTTATATTAGTGTATTTCTGTTCACCCCAATGCACATCACAGATCCCAAATAAACTATCCAAGCTGGCCACAGAGAAGTAACTAAGGACAAGCAGATATGAACAGCAGCAACTACAACTTGTAAAAAGACAGCCATCTTAAATATGGATAGTAGGTTGATATGAGTCACTAATATATTATACATAGCATCTTGCGTTGTTGATCTGTCAGTACAAAATAGTCCTGAAATGATTCTGAAATAATTTCCTGAAATAATTCTGAAGACTCATGAAAGATCTCATCAGTAAAATAGAAGAACTTGAGTAAAAAAAAACCCCTTCACTCACTTTCACCTTCCCTTGTCCTAATCCATTTATCATGTAAATTTCCCGACCTACCTATCTTTCCCTGAAAGGGGAAGAGCTGGCAACAGAGCACAGTGAAGAGTAGGCAGAAACCATCACTTCATCAATCTGGCTGGGGGCCAAGTGAGTCCTAATGCCTAGGTGACAAGATTAGCCCCTAGTACTTCCTTCATGTGCCAAGAGCAGAGGAAAATAGCATTTTAAAGTGCTTAGCGTTAAATGAAAAATGCTGGATTACATTTCAAATAACTAAAAACAAGATTATTTCTGTTAAAGTGCAGCCAAAAATAATATCAAAGACTGCAAGGCCTATTTAAAAGCTTGAACAGTTTGCTAGTTTACTAAAAATATAAATCACAAGGTTTCATGTTATAGGCAGAGACTTCAAATTAGGAATGAGAAAAATGTTGCCTATTTCATTTTATTACATTAGATTATATACTTGTCACTGGCTTTGGTTCTGCACTTTTCATTATTTTTATATATTTACGTTACTTACAGTCCACTTTTCTCACTGGGACTTACACATATGGAGTTGGTACAATCGAAAAAATTGGACATTCAATAGCCAATGCATTAGGATCTTACAAGTCAAGAACCACCAGAAAGAACCGGAGCATTCACATGACACATTAAGTGGTGCAGAAATTACATAACAGGGTCGTATTTGCAATAAACTATCCACAGCAGCATAAACCACAGTCCCAATCATTCATCCAAATAAGTTTGTGAAGCATTCTGTACCATGCAACCCTATCACCTGCACAGAAAAGCCCTCTTGAACTGTTTGGCTTTGTATAGTTTGCAGAGAGCCAGAACAATGGGAGATTTCCTGATTTCCATTCCACAAGGGGGGAGCAACAAAGGAGAAAGCGTGTATATGGATAGTCGTTGATTTTGCCCACTGGCACCTGCAGAAGCCCCTGCTGACATCAGCAAAGTTATGGCGAAGCAAAGGGAGAGAGGCAGTCCTGCAAATAACAGGGATCAAGGCCATGAAGGGCTTCGTATGTGACAATCAGTATCTTAAACTGAGCCTGGTAACAAATGGACAGCCAATGGAGCATCTGCAGAATGGGGCAATATGCATGCTCTATCTAGCTCCCATTAATAGCCGAGCTGCAGTATTCTGGGCCAGTTGGCATTTCCACGTTTATTTTGATGGGAGACCAATGTACAGTGCATTACTGTAGTCGAGTCTTGATGTTGCCTTGGCGTGCATCCAGGTGGCCGGATCAGCAATATCAAGGTAAGGAGACATCTTACGGGCTAGGCTAAGTGAGTAAAAAGCCTTTTTTGCAGCTGCACTAACTTGCTTCAATAATGTGGGATCCACTATGACCCCAAGGCTTTTAACTGAGTCAGCAAGGGTCAGCTGAACTCCATCAAAAGTAGGGAGAACAATGTCCTTATAGATCTCCTTCTTCCCAACTTGCATTACCTGTCTTTTCAGGGTTTAGTTTCGATTTGTTCTTGCACTGGTAGATTCATTTGTATATTCTACAGTATTTATATGCAATTTATGTAGTCTTTATATACTTGTAGTGTAGTCAATATATATTATTGATGCACACAAGGATTCACTGATCGATGTACCAATAATGTTGCAAAAATTGTAGCTTCAATGCAGCAAACAGAAAATGGTTAAAGTCTAGTAAAAATAGTCTGGGGGGGTTGCACAGAGGAGAAGTACAATTAAAATGAGGATTTGGGGTTGAATCAACAGGCACGACAAATTCAAAATTATCCCTACTTCAAAAAGGATTACCCTGGGAATACTAATCAGTGCATGGGGCTACTGTACAGAACTAGTTGGTTCCTAAGCAATTAT